CGAGTACGTTAAGTCAGAATTGAATTTGTTTGCACTACCGCCTACACAAACTAGCATTGAAAATGGATTGTGGATTAATTATAAACCAATTTCATCTCTTGGTGATGATGGACCTATCGAGTTTCAAGTTCCTGGGACAGGCGATGACTACATAGATTTGTCTCATACATTACTCCACATAAAGGCAAAAGTATTAAATCAAGATTCAACTAACTTGATATCTACTACAATAGTAGCACCTGTAAATAATTGGCTGCATTCACATTTTAGTCAACTTGATGTTTATTTAAACCAAAAACTTGTATCACCACCTAATAATACCTATGCATATCGAGCATACATGGAAACCCTTTTAAACTATGCTCCTACTGCTAAACAATCTCATCTTACTTGTAGTCTTTGGTATGATGATACAGCAGGAAAAGTGGATTCTACGGATGGTAAAAACATAGGATTTGTTAAAAGACAGGAATTGATTAGTGAAAGTAAGGAAACAGAAATTTGGATTGGTCATCTTCACGGTGACATTTTCAACCAAGATAAATTTTTATTTATGGTGTTGAAATGAGTGTTAAATTGGTTCGATCAAGAGAGAGTTTTAATTTAATTGCTGGGTCACACGATGTAAAGTTTAAAGTTTGCATTACGGACGCAACTCTTATTGTTCGACGAGCACGAATTAATCCAAGTGTATTACCCGCACATCAAAAGTTTTAGCTTCTACCACTGCTAAATATCCTATTACTCGAGCTGAAGTAAAAGTTTTAACAATTCCATTGGGTGTTCAAGGAAAAACTCTTGATAATATAATTTTAGGGCTGGTACCCAAAAGATGTATAATTGGATTTGTGAACAATTCTGCATTTAATGGTTCCCTTACTAAAAATCCATTTAACTTTGAAAACTATGGTATTGATTCTTTCAGCTTATATATTGATGGTCAACAAATACCTTCAAAAGCTTTGCAACCATCTTTTAATAATAGTATATTTACATCAGCATATCATACTCTATTCTCGGGAACTGGTATTCACTTTCTTAATGAAGGAAATGGAATCTCTTGTGAACAGTATACCAAAGGTTACTGTCTATTAGCATTTGACTTAACTCCTGATTTATCAGCCAAATCATCAGCTCATTTGAATCTCATAAAGCATGGTAGTGTAAGATTAGAAGTACGATTTGAATCCTCACTAATACAAACAATTAACTGTATAGTTTATGCTGAGTTTGATAATATTATTGAGATAGATAAAAACAGAAATGTTACTGTAGACTATAGTAGTTAAGGTTATAATATGTGTTGTGTGTTAGATTTTATGAGTTATGTGTAATGCATTTTGTGTGTATGTAACTATGTGAAACGTTATAAAATTAAATAAAACAAATTGTATGCAATATATTATTTTTTATTTCTTTATAAATCTTCTATTTAATCTAATACAAAACACTGTTCAAGTTTAAAGTTACATCGCACTCTCTCATTAGATCATCAATAATAACGAGATGTGGGTTTTCACCATCAAACATATTAAGATTTGGAATTCCTTGATGATAGTTAACATTTGGTAAATTATATAAAGGTTGCATTTCATCAAAGCACCATGTGATCTGATTAAAATCACAATTACATATTTCTGTAACTGATTTTATGAAATTTGTTTCAAAATTTGACTTCCCACATCCACTAGGTCCTGCCACAATAGCAGTAAACGGATGTATAAAGTGAAACATTACACACGTCTAAAGTTCTAAGGGGTGAAATAAAAAATGAAAGTGTTGGTGTAAACAATTAATATATATTGTGTACTATAAGTAATGTTTTTGGTAAATCAAATAAAATTTGTGATTAATTTAAAATTTTATTTTCAAGCAATAACCACTTGTAAAAAAACTACACTTCGTCACAAGAACAATGTAAAATTTTGTGATTATTTTTTTGCAAATATATGATTATTACACACGTTATACACATATAACGTTTGTTTAAATTTATGACATTTACCAAATCATTGTATTTTGGACATTTGTATTCTTCAATATTAAAAATTCTATCATTCGTCGTCAACATTTTTAAAAATTGTTTTTCTGTTGAACCACTTTTGTATGCGATCACTTCATATACCAATTTAATATGGGGATGATGTTCTCTTGTTTGTAGGCACATTTTAATTCTTCAGTCACATCAAAATATGGAATGCCGTGCACGTGTGTTTCACAATAACGAACAGTTTTTTTGTCTTTTGGCGACAAATAATTGAAAGGATAACTTGGCCGAAACAAATAATGATCGATAAACGCATCATTTTTATTAGATAGTTTTACATCTAGAGTAGCCATTTCTCTACATTGAAAATGTTTATGAGGATATGTAATGTAAAATCCATCCATGTCCATGATGTATCTAATATTTTTTAGATTTTGTGTCATTTTGAACCAAAATGTTAAAAGTATTTACACGTGACTAAATGTATGTTTGTTCCAACAAACTTCACATAACAATTCTTCATTACTTCCCATCATCCCATTTCTTCCTTCTGCTCTTGTCTTCCTGTAATTTAAGTAAACAGAATCACATTCACTAATGACCAACTAATGACTATCATTGATAAAAAAGTATTTTTTAGCTACTCTAGTATTCGTAGATGCGGTACACACACAATATTTAAATATAATTTTTTAACACTAAATCATACACACGTAAGAAAATAACATAAAGAAAAGTAACTTTGTCAATAGAATAAACACTTAAAATTGCAATTAACAATTTCATTGGTGCCGGCGGGGATCGAACCCGGGTACTGTGAAATTTACAGCTTGCGCTAACCATCTGAGCTACCACGGCTTAATCATATACACACACAATATTTAAATATAATTTGTTAACACTAAATCATACAAACGTAAGAAAATAACAGAAAGAAAAGTAAGTTTGTCAATAGAATAAACACTTACATCCATGGCCTTTGATGCGTTGAAGTAGCACAAATGTAGTATTGATATATCCACTGCCATCAAACGACCAAACACTAACTCCATGACTGCAGTTGCGCGGTCTTATATAGTACCAGTAAGTAATAATTCTAATCTAAAGAATTTCTGCAGTGGAATTGATAGCAACTTTATGCGTCAACAAGCTTATCTCACATTCTGTTGCTTATCGCAGCATTACTTCCTGTTGCGTCTTGTTCAGTGTAATTATGATTCAAATACGTTCTGTATAACAAAAAATAATGCAATTTAATATTTAGAAATTACTATAATTGATCATTCCTATGTTAGTCATTGAGTAGATTGTACTGTAATAATCTACTAATAGCAGTAATATCATGGATACACTAGATGTACAACAACATCTGAAAAAGATTCACCCCAGTCTAGAAAATAATATTTATGCTACCAATAGAATGCCCATGTACACCCATGTTCACCCACGTACCAACGTATATAATATGCAATTTGGACACAGATGATAAACCAGGGTCACATTGGGTAGCTTTATATATCGATACGAATGACGTCGGTCAATATTTTGATTCATACGGACGAGCACCTGTACGATATCATCTAGAGTTTTTAAAAAGGAATTGTAAAAGATAGAACTGGAATGTTGATAGGATTCAGAATGAGAGGACTTCAGTTTGTGGCGAATATTGCTTAATGTATTTGCTATATAAGTTTCAGGGATGTTCAATGCATAGTTTTACGAGTATATTTACAGGAAACACATTGTACAACGATATTTTAGTGGATCAGATGTTTCGCTCCTATTTTATAGATATAATAAGATTTTGTATTTTGTAAATAAAAATTTTAACAAAATTGGGTAATGTGTTTTATTGATGAGTCAGATTAGTGTAGATAGGAACAGAGGAGTATAATACAATAGCACCACGCTGAGGAAGAATAGATAATGACGGTATTCAATGAACAATAGATTAATAATGAGAGGGTGCGTAATCTGTAAAACTTGTTACCAAAAGGGAAGTGGTATAACATTTCACAAGTAAGTGAATTTGCAGCAAATATTAAACAAATTAAAACTATTTGATAATATAAGTACCTACTAAGAAATTTGTTACTAATCTTAATACCATATTGTAACGAGCTTGAGGTTCGTGACAATAAAAATTGCCGATAAAATTACCTAAATTAACACTTTAATTTACTTTACACAAATTAAAACTTAAAACACGAATAATTCACTTAATTCCGCTCCGAAACTTCGGTTGTCTCGCCAAATCAACACTACCTCGATCGCATCTTGCAGCGCCTATTTATTTAAATTAGCAAAGAAGCATCCGGAATATTCAAGTAAATGCGCGCAAATGGACGAGTGTGCGAGTGTAGATTTTCTAGAAACTTAGTTCTTCGGATGGCGCTGTCGGTTGAGAGATTTGTGATGTCATTTTCTGCAAAGCTCCCCTCGCTCTCGTTCCTGACACTAGATGGCGCTAGTTGACTTATTCACGCAACACTGCCCCCTCCTAAGACATGCTCGTCCCGAGCATTATCGGTCCCATAATAACGCGCCAAGCGATCCACATGGACGATCTTAGGAGTCCCTCTTGCGCCTTTCTGTATCCGGTAGGTCACATCGTTGATCCTGGTTACAATCCGGTACAGGCCGTCCCATTTAGCTTGAAGCTTAGGAGATTTTCCTTTGCTGCGGACTGGATTATGCAACCACACTAATGAACCTTCGTTGAACCCTTTATTGTTCATTTTGCGGTCGTACCGAGTTTTCATTTTCTCAGACATTTGCTGGCCCGATTGTCTGAAGTGCTCATAAATGTCATTCATTTTGTTCCGCAAGTCATTTGCATAATCGGTTATACTGATAGGACTGAATAGGATCGTGAGTCGACGAAGGTCGTGCGCCAGGACTGGTACAACCTTTCTACAAGTGCGCCAGAATTGGTACAACGTAACTACTTAAATGTAACTTTATAATAAGAAAAAAAATTTGGGAAAAACACGTATCGGTATTTGAACTTAGACTAAATATTTTTAGAATTCCAAGCTTGGGATAAGATTGGGTTGGATTGAGTTGCTTCTTGGGTTTCTTGATCATCAACTTCACTTTGTAAGTAAAATTGTGAAACATCTTGAGTCTCAACATTGTCATCAGTTTGCAAGATTGATTGAGAAGGATCTTGAGTTTCTTGTATATAAACTACATCATTCTGCAAGACTAACTGAGAAGCATCTTGGGTTTCCGGTACGTAAACATTATGCTGTTCGCGTTGCGGTTGGGGAGTCATAACTGAGGGTGTACTTGCGTTAGATGTGTTTGAAGTCGAAGGCGGTATTAAAAACCGGACCAAAATTGCTTGTATTTCACTTTGTGCCAGTAAAGATTGTTCGAATGACATTTTGTCCAACATTAAAGCGACATATGGGCCAAACGCACTGTTGGCGCTTTGAGCTCCAACGGGAGTTGTAATTATGTCGTTACTACTGCGTAAACTATCGTGCACTTTGCGTACTTCATTAACATCCGAAGCAAGAATGTGTAAATTCTTATTTTTGGATGTCTTTCCTTTTCCCTTGCCTTTTAATGTTGGAGCTATCTGAATTGGCGCTGACTGCGAATCTTCAATATTTTGTGCAGTACTGGTTGTAGGCTCTTGTGAGTTATTTATTGAGACTGACGATGGCTGTGGATCATGTGCATTTGTTGAGACTTCAGTTTCGTTTTCTAATATTGCATTCTGTAATTAAAGAATATAATTAGGTTGTTTTCTTTGGATTGAGGTACCAGCTTCAGAAAACAACTGGAAAACAATAAGTAGTGGATTTGAAACTCATTGGAACTTTCCAAACTGTTGTGGTGCCATCGACAGAAAACATATCCCCCCAAATTGTGGCAGCGAATATTTCAGCTACAAGGGCTCGAATAGTATTGTGTTAATGTCAGTTGTCGACTTTAACACACACAACCTAAAACGCTGCCCTGTGGGATGGAACTAGTTAGGTGTTTCTCTTCAGAACGAACTTTTATTATTTCATTTGTAATTTGGTTGTAGTGTTCAATTTATACTATTTGCCTCTAATTATTTAAATAGGATTTGAACTAGTTATGTACTGGCCCGCGGATACCCGAATTCATAAGTTTTAAAAGTAGTTTATCATAGGCACCCTGTTGTATGCTTTCGTCATATCAAGTAAAATACCAAAAGTATGTTTTTTATCATTTAAATTTTGTAGGGCCATTCGTATGAACTTATATACAGCTAGGGTAGTTGATCCTGATTTCATACTTTATTTGGTTGGGGCTTCTGTGAGCTACATAATTTTTATTTATTATTTGTAATTTTATATTATTAAAATAAAAAAAATTCATCATCATCGACGCGACGCTTTCCAAAATGCGAATGAGTTCTGAGGAATCGTTCGTGTAGCACTGCACTACTTTTTCCGCCATTCGTTTGACGTTATCAAGGTGTCTATTCTTGACCACGGCGCCCAGTGCACTGATAATCGATGACGCGCTCAGGATGCGCCAGAGTGAGATATTAGATTTATTACGCGAAATCGATTTGATGAAATTTTCTTTTATTTATGTAGCTGATGATAGTTTTATGTTTCTTACCTTTTGTTTTATTCAAATATCAATAACAATTTAAAAAAAATAACACGTTGCGTTTAATTTTGAACAGTTTTCAATAAATCTATTCCCAATGCATTACAACACTAGCGGTCAAACATAGACGACTTTGGCGTGCTGGACATAGTATTTGCTTAGATATTTCTATGTGTTTCGCTGTGGTGACGCACAATAAGTGTAAGCAATTTAATGATAAAAGACAAATTCGTAAATGAGCAGTTACGTTGTACCAGTTCTGGCGCACTTGTAGAAAGGTTGAACCAGTTCTGGCGCACGACGTTCGTCGACTCACGATCCTAAAAAAAAAAAAAAAAAAAAAGTTTTGGCGTGCTCTGATCACGAATCAGCGGGCCATTTTTGCGTAGAATGCACGGTTCCGGAGATGAGCAGATCAATTAACTCTTATCTAATTAATATCCGCTGCGAGCCTCAACCGTCATTAGCGCTCCATTGACCTTATCTACTTATCTATTGTTGTTATTTAAATTACTTCCGTGTACTCATTATATTCTATTTCTAATCCTTTGTTAGACTTAAATATCGGACATTATTTGAAATTTGGGTATCAGTTGGTCTACCAACACTGAACTGTTACTTACTCTGCTACCTATTTTCTTCTTTACTATAAGGATGGCAAACTTCAGTGAAGTGTGCACCAGTGCTTTCTTCTCCACAACCATGGAAGAGAATACGGAACTATTCAACAGCGAATTAAATCAGGAGTTGTCTAAAGTTTGTGATGAAATGGAGAAGGATCAACTGTTCGATTCATCGTATGATGATGAGTTGTATAATCACTGTGCGATGGTTGAAACACAGTTTAAGTAAGTAAAATAAACATTCATTTCGATCATAATTTACACAATGTCTTGTTCAGTTTTTAATAAATTTAAACATTTTAGTAGTCAACCATTACAACTTGGAAGAGGAACGAAGCGAACGAGCAGCAAAGAACCCAAGATCAGCAAAAAACCAACAACGGAAGCGGAAGCGCCTACCTCTGCAGGGAACAGTACACAGAGTACCTTTACAGCATAGAGGAAAGTAATACTTTACAGTATCAGTAACGAAGATCAAGTGGAATGTCTAACGTGTCATATATTTATCAAGAAACGGTATTTAGCTAATCATTTTAAAAGTAATGTTCACAAAAATAATCTTTTAAATTCACATAATTCTTTATCAAACGTTAGTGTTATTGAATCTGCTTTTGGAAATAGGATTTTAACTTATAAAATCAAGAGTAGAGTAGATAGTTCGACATTGGTAAATTTTGAAACTCCTGAACTATTTTTAAATTCTATTAAAGATGATATTTTATTTTTAATACAAGAGTGTATTCATCAACACATAATTTTTAAAGTAAACTTCATATTGCATGCTGATTTTGTTCAACAAACTAAAGATATTCATGATACGTTCGATTTTCAAACGCTTAACTATATTATTTGTCAAGGAGATGACTTAAATATTCATCTGCGAATTTTTTTTTTGAATGAGTCATTCAAAGATTTCGAATTAAGAAATGGATGGATTTTACATTACATATCCTCATAAACATTTTCAATGTAGAGAAATGGCTACTCTAGACGTAAAACTATCTAATAAAAATGATGCGTTTATCGATCATTATTTGTTTCGGCCAAGTTATCCTTTCAATTATTTGTCGCCAAAAGACAAAAAAACTGTTCGTTATTGTGAAACACACGTGCACGGCATTCCATATTTTGATGTGACTGAAGAATTAAAATGTGCCTACAAACAAGAGAACATCATCCCCATATTAAATTGGTATATTAGAAATTTGTGCAAAGAGGAAGTGATCGCATACAAAAGTGGTTCAACAGAAAAACAATTTTTAAAAATGTTGACGACGAATGATAGAATTTTTAATATTGAAGAATACAAATGTCCAAAATACAATGATTTGGTAAATGTTATAAATTTAGACAAACGTTATATGTGTATAACGTGTGTAATAATCATATATTTGCAAAAAATAATCACAAAATTTTACATTGTTCTTGTGACGAAGTGTAGTTTTTTTACAAGTGGTTATTGCTTGAAAATAAAATTTTAAATTAATCACAAATTTTATTTGATTTCCCAAAAAACATTACTTATAGTACACAATATATATTAATTGTTTACACCAACACTTTCATTTTTTATTTCACCCCTTAGAACTTTAGACGTGTGTAATGTTTCACTTTATACATCCGTTTACTGCTATTGTGGCAGGACCTAGTGGAAGTGGGAAGTCAAATTTTGAAACAAATTTCATAAAATCAGTTACAGAAATATGTAATTGTGATTTTAATCAGATCACATGGTGCTTTGATGAAATGCAACCTTTATATAATTTACCAAATGTTAACTATCATCAAGGAATTCCAAATCTTAATATGTTTGATGGTGAAAACCCACATCTCGTTATTATTGATGATCTAATGAGAGAGTCCGATGTAACTTTAAACTTGAACAGTGTTTTGTATTAGATTAAATAGAAGATTTATAAAGAAATAAAAAATAATATATTGCATACAATTTGTTTTATTTAATTTTATAACGTTTCACATAGTTACATACACACAAAATGCATTACACATAACTCATAAAATCTAACACACAACACATATTATAACCTTAACTACTATAGTCTACAGTAACATTTCTGTTTTTATCTATCTCAATAATATTATCAAACTCAGCATAAACTATACAGTTAATTGTTTGTATTAGTGAGGATTCAAATCGTACTTCTAATCTTACACTACCATGCTTTATGAGATTCAAATGAGCTAATGATTTGGCTGATAAATCAGGAGTTAAGTCAAATGCTAATAGACAGTAACCTTTGGTATACTGTTCACAAGAGATTCCATTTCCTTCATTAAGAAAGTGAATACCAGTTCCCGAGAATAGAGTATGATATGCTGATGTAAATATACTATTATTAAAAGATGGTTGCAAAGCTTTTGAAGGTATTTGTTGACCATCAATATATAAGCTGAAAGAATCAATACCATAGTTTTCAAAGTTAAATGGATTTTTAGTAAGGGAACCATTAAATACAGAATTGTTCACAAATCCAATTATACATCTTTTGGGTACCAGCCCTAAAATTATATTATCAAGAGTTTTTCCTTGAACACCCAATGGAATTGTTAAAACTTTTACTTCAGCTCGAGTAATAGGATATTTAGCAGTGGTAGAAGCTAAAACTTTTTGATGTGCGGGTAATACACTTGGATTAATTCGTGCTCGTCGAACAATAAGAGTTGCGTCCGTAATGCAAACTTTAAACTTTACATCGTGTGACCCAGCAATTAAATTAAAACTCTCTCTTGATCGAACCAATTTAACACTCATTTCAACACCATAAATAAAAATTTATCTTGGTTGAAAATGTCACCGTGAAGATGACCAATCCAAATTTCTGTTTCCTTACTTTCACTAATCAATTCCTGTCTTTTAACAAATCCTATGTTTTTACCATCCGTAGAATCCATTTTTCCTGCTGTATCATCATACCAAAGACTACAAGTAAGATGAGATTGTTTAGCAGTAGGAGCATAGTTTAAAAGGGTTTCCATGTATGCTCGATATGCATAGGTATTATTAGGTGGTGATACAAGTTTTTGGTTTAAATAAACATCAAGTTGACTAAAATGTGAATGCAGCCAATTATTTACAGGTGCTACTATTGTAGTAGATATCAAGTTAGTTGAATCTTGATTTAATACTTTTGCCTTTATGTGGAGTAATGTATGAGACAAATCTATGTAGTCATCGCCTGTCCCAGGAACTTGAAACTCGATAGGTCCATCATCACCAATGAATTCAGAAAAATTCATTCAAAAATTTCATGACATATATTGGTTAAGTCGATTTAGATCCTTTAGGGGGTTGTAATTTGCATCATTACCGACTATTACGACTATGAAACACCATACATCAAACCTAACCGTTTTCAAGATATTGGATATTTAAGTTTTTTTTTAAATTCATCTGCATTAACACTATTACCCCAAAGAATAATGCCATATTTAAGCCATGAAAAGGCATACGCGTAATACGAGTATGTGGAAAGTGCAGTTTCTA